TGTTTTTTCTTTACCTTCTCTATCCCATGCATAATTTTGTAAACCTCTATCATGTCACCCTCAATCATCATTTTTCCAAGCTAAAAAGCCCTAACCTCTTTAACTTTTCTTCATAGGGAAAGTGTTCCATCCCCTTAATCATTTTAATTGCCCTTTTCTGCATTTTTCCAGGGCTATAATATCTTTTTGAGGTGGAGTGACCAGAACTGTACACAGTATTCCAAATGAGGCCACACCATAGATTTTATACAAGGGCATTATGATGCAGGCTAATATGTTTTCAATCCCCTTCCTAATAATCCCCAGCATAGCATTTAGCTTTTTTATTGCCATCGCACACTGAGTCAACATCTTCAGTGAGCTATCTAACATGACTCCAAGGTCTCTCTCCTGGTCAGTTACCACCAGTATCAATGTATATTTATAATTAGGATTTTTGGCTCCAATGTGCATTACTTTGCACTTGCCCACTTTGAATCTCGTTTGTCATGTTGACACCCACTTGCTCAGCCTCAACAGATCCCTCTGGAGTGCCTCACAGTGTTTCTCACCGCCACGAACAACTTAGTGTCATCTGCAGACTTAGCCACTTTACTACTTACTCTCAACTCAAAATCATTAATGAACAAGTTAAAAAGCAGCGGACCTAGTATTGAGCCCTGTGGTACCACACTGCTTACCACCTTCCACTGTGAAAAGTGCCCATTTATACTCACTCTCTGTTTTGTGTTATTTAACCCATCTTTTAATCCACAAGAGGACTTGTCTTCTTATCCCATGACTGCTTTTTTACTTAGGGACCTTTGATGAGGAACTTTATCAAAAGCTTTCTAGAAGTCTAAATAAATAACATTTACTGGGTCACCCTTGTCCATGTTTGTTCATCCCCTCAAAGAACTCTAAAAGGTTAATGCGACAAGATCTTCCCATACAGAATCCATGCTGGTTCTTCCTCAATAGCTTCTGTTCATCAATGTGCCTACTAATTCTGTCTTTGGTACTGGATATCCGCGTTAGACTGACCAGCCTGTAATTTCCCAGATCTCCTCTGAAACCTTTTTTAATGATGGGGGTTACATTAGAACTTTTGGATGTATGCCATCTGGGCCTGGTGACTTGTCAATTTTTAATCTGTCAATCAGTTGTAGGACCTCCTCTCTCATCTCCTCAATCCGACTCAGGTCTTTTGACATCCCTCCTGAAATCAGTGGTTCTGGAGGAGGCAAGCACCTCCCATCTTCCACAGTGAAGACAGAGGCAAAAAATGCATCCAGCTTTTCTGCTATTTCCCCATCATCCTTTAGTGATCATTTTACCCCTTGGTTGTCCAAGGGCCCCACTGCCTCCCTTGCTGGTTTTATGCTTCAAATGTATTTGAATAAATTTTTGTTGTTGGTCTTTGTTTTTTGCAGTATGTTCCTCATAGTCCCTTTCTGCCTGTCTGATCACTGACTTGCATTTTATTTGCCAAAACCTGTGCTCCCTTTTATTTACCTCACTTGGATTAGCCTTTTACTGCTTAAAGGAATCTGTACCTTTTATTGCTTCCATTATTTTGTTCATTAACCATGCAGGCCTTTTTTTATACCTGTTTGTACCTTTCCTAACCTGCAATATATATCTTATCTGAGCTTCCAGTATTGTAATTTTAAATAGCCCCCAAGCTTTGGATTTTCTCTCTTTTCTCCTTCAAGCTGCATTTGTTTCTGTCTTCGATCATCATATACCATTCAGTCCAAATATAGAAATATAATGATTTTGAATACCTTGTCTTAAAATATTTTATTCATCATGTTAAAATAAAATGTTCCATAATCAATTTTTTTTCTTTTCTTTTCTTTTTTCAATTTTTCCAATTTTTTGGAAAAAAAACAAAAAAGCTTCAGGAAAAAAACGGAAAAAAACCTTTCCCCCCCAAATTTTTCCGTTTTTTCCCTGAGCCTTCACATCTCTAGCTAGTAACAAAAAGTACTTGATACAAAGGGAGAATACAATTAGAGTCCACAATTCTCTAATTGTATTCTCCCTTTGTATCAAGTACTTTTTGTTCCTAGCTCTGTAAAAATATATATATAAGTGTTCTTTAACAGAGATTTCAAAATGTTTGAATTGTTTCATACAATATAATGTTTTTGCTTATGTTCGTAATTCATTCACGGAGTTTCTTTATATTTATACAACCTCCAAGTAATGGCTGGAGATCTCCTGGGATTACAACTGATCTCTAGGTAACAGAGAAAATGGTTCACTAGGAGAAAATGGCCACTCTGAAAGATGGATTGTATGCATTGTACCCCATTGAAGTCCCTCTCCTCTCCCCCACTCACAAACTTCAGAGTTAACACACAAGAGTAAGGCTATTTAATATGCCGAACAATAAAGCCCAAAGCTGAGAAATTCCTTCTCTCTGCAACCAGCCTGGGAACCTTAATTCTGCACTGTAACACAAGGGGAAAGCAACCACAAACAGCAGCTCGAAGCCAACTGAGTGTTATTACAAAGGAGTTTTCAGCGGCCTGAAATAAAACTTTGTTGGTCTTAAAGGTGTCATGGGATCAGAAGAAGGCGGGGTGGAGGAGACAGCCAACGGAGGGGAGGTTGGGTTTTCACCTCTCCCACACTATTGGGAGATCTGGGCTGCAATGCAGACACTGTTCCAGAAAAGAAATGTGCATGAAAGTTTATTCCTGAAAGAAAACTTTCTTGGTCTCTTAAAGGTGCCATGGGACTTTTCTCCTCTCAAGCATGCTCTCTCTCTTTCCCTCCCTTTCTCCCCAAAGGAGAAGGGGGGAGGAGACAGCCAATAAAGTGGAGATTGTTTTTTTTGTCTCTCCCATGCGATTGAGAGAGCTGTGCTGCACCACAGCAGCCACCCCAGAGAAGAAGTGTGCATGCACATGAAAGCTTATACCCGAAATAAAACTTTGTTGGTCTCTTAAAGGTGCCATGGGACTCAGACGTTGCTCCTCTTAAGCATGCACACTCTCTCTCCCCCTCCTCCCTCCTTTCCTCCCCAAAGGAGAAGGGAGAGGAAACAGCCAATGGAGGAAAGGGGTTTAATTCTCCCAGGCAATAGAGATAACTGGCCGAAAGCAAACTGTGACACAGCAGCAGCTCTAGAGAAGGAAGCAGGAGAAAGCCAGTTGCTCATGGGCTGGATATGAGCCCTGCAGGGGCTGGTTCCAACCCACAGGCCATATGTTTGACACCCTTGACCTATACCTTTGCTAGTCCAGCTGCTTCTGGAATTTGTAGCCTTGGACTCTGTTGATGGTAGCACATGTGTTAGGCAGCAGCAGCTCAACACATTTTACTGTCATTCCATGCTGTCTAGCTGCGGTGGGCTGTAGCGACAGCACAGGGGGTGAACACCTTCTCTCATGCCATCCATTAGGTACCAGGTGGCTTCAGAAGAGGTGCCTCTACATCCCATCTTGAAGTCTAGCTCTGTAGGTGCTTCACAGAACAAAACAGCAAAAGAGCCTTGGGGGGCAGGTGACCCACCTTGCCTCAATCCTCCTTTGAGTAGTGAAAGTCTGCCTTTGTGTTGGCAGTGCAGTGGTAATGAGTATTTGTGGCTGAAGTTGATCCTTCTCAAGTTACACCTCATTAGTCTTTTTACAATAGCCAAGATAAACTAAAGCAGAGGAGTACCTTCTACAAGGAGAGTATTTCGCATGGAGGTCATGTTGCTGGTGCGAGAGCTGGCTCATTCACACGTTTACAGACATTCCATACAGCATAGTTTAATGCAGTTTCTCATGATCAGCTGTGGTTGCCCTCTCGCAAAAAATTCATATTGGATTTGCTCTCCGTAGCTGCTGTCCTGATTTTCTTCATCAATCTCTACCCCCTTTTCTTTTCCACATGTGTGGTGCTGCTCAGGAATAACACTATACCCAGAAAATCTATTTAGCTATATCAGCACTGTAAGTGTGGGCGATTCTCTGTGGTCACATTAATTACTCCTGGAGACTGGTAGTGCATTGCATCTACATTGCAGTGTAGATTTGCATGTCTCTGCTGCTTGAGGTAAGGGAGGGAGGACTTCAGGAACCTTTATAATAGCTCTTTCCTATGTTAATCGTCTAGACAGCAGGAAAAGAAATTGTCCCTCATTGTCCCCAACAGGCATAGAGGCAAGAACACTCCTCCCCACATTGCTAATGAATGAGTTCCCATACACTCCCTTTATCCTGTGAAAGAGAACAGAGGGCTGATAACTGCATGTTTTTCTAATATTGCTGAAAGAGTGGCACAGTGCCATGATGCAAAATATGCTTTCAAAAATAATAAATAAAATGTAATAAAGCCAGGCACGTACACACCCACCCATAAGCACCCATAGAGTACAGTACATAGTCATTATTAAAAGTCTATACGGTTATGTGTGTCAACCAGAACCAGAAATGTAAACTTTATTATATTTTGTATAATTATTGATGAACAGTGCTATGATATTGGGCAAGTTTCCAACTAAAATTGCTGCTGCATTGGCAGGGGTGGTTGGGCAGGCTCAACCTGAGCAGGCTCAAAATGAGCAGGAACTGGTATACTCTTGCATTCAGGACCACACTGTGCGTTTCTCTCCAGACGACTGGATGCATTTGCCCAAGAGCACCATTGCAAGAAATATTTTTGTGTGTATGTGTGATTGGAAAAGAAGTTTTCAGGGGGGAAATCAAGTGATATGTATGAATGGAGGAAGACATGGAAACAAATAAAAATTGTTTTGCCCTCCCTTCACGAAGTCCATAAATGGTTAGATACATACTGGTTTCTGTGTTTTCTTGTCCATGTGCAATGAATGTGCTTTTGTCCACTGACGATATTACTGCTCTAAACAATATATTGATTGTGAACTGATTCTTCTAATTGTCAACGTATCAACCTACTGAATTTGTGTAGGTTAATAGCTGACAGGATGAAGATGTTAGCAATTTTTCTTTTAACTGTTTGTTTGCTAAACACCCAGTCCATTTAAACTTTGTATGTGTTAGGTCTACCAGAACCAAAAAGAGAATCTATATTTGAAGGTCTGAAGATGGAGCAAGGATTTTACACATCTAAAGACTTCCTACCACTGGTGGCTATGGCGAGTAAACCAGGTATGCATTTTCAGTTCTCTTTTTGTATGTTTCCAGAATAGTTATTCACGTGTTTATTTGAAACCTCTGGTTCCTGCTTTCTGATGTGATGGAAGTAGCTTGTACCAATAATTAAAACAACAATACTAATTGTAAAATTAAAAATTAACTATTAATTAGTCAGCAGTATTTGGCTCTGCAATGAAGGTGCTAGTAGAGATTCCTATGTAGGAAGCTCTTGTTTAGTTGTTTTTTCACTTGAGTCTTGAACCCTTGACAGTTAAATGCTAAACACACACTTGTAGGGTTTATCACCAGTAGCCTTCATAGTCAGCCAAAATTAGATATGGAGTGCTGCTCAGTGCATACCTACCTCCTTGTGATTCCAATTGGCTTTTATTCATTTCCATGACACTTCCTGTAAGTGAAATGTGAATAGGACCACAGCAATGGCTGAGCCTAATTTACTTAGAAGTAAATCGTATGCATTTAAATAGGACTGCCTTCCAAACAAGTATGCATAGTATTGCAACCTTAAACATTTCGAATATCTCTTAACAAGTCACAGTAATATTGTGTCTTATGCACAAATCATTATGAAACTGACCGCAAAACTCAAGTTCAATATATTGGGCCATAATAATCAGTTTGGCTCTTGTTTACTTGCTAGGGCACTACCTAATGTTATTTATGATTTTCAACAAATTATAAAGATTGCTTTGTTTTTCTTCCACTCTCAGCTATGGGTGTGCAGAAAAAAATATTTGTATTTTTTCAGGTTTGGATATCCCAAACCTGAAAAATATTGGCATTTGCTGATATTCCCGAATCCCAGTGCTATCATACTGGGATTCGGGAAATTATCGGTATGGCTGTACACTTTCTGCATGATGGGCGGGTGATGGTTTATCATGACCCAAGCACAAGCAAATATGACATCCAGGGAAGTATTAAACATCTTCAGAGAGAGGTGAATACTGTTGTATATTTCAGGTCTCCAACACACTCCCTCAAAATTAAGTGTATGTATCTGGAATATGCCTTAATGAAATCCCATACTATGTCCATTTGGCTATGTGGTATATTGTGCTGTTTTTGTATATTTCAGTATGTTCAGATTTTTTTTAGTATGTTAGTATTTTTTTTAGTATTTATAGCCCTGTGTTTAAAGATTTTTTTTTGCTTGTTCCTGAAAGAAATTGATACTTGTGGTTCTATACCCTTGCTGTGAAAATTCACAACTGGCAGTGCACAAAGTTAAGAATTATAGACCATTGATGATATGGTAAAAAACAGACTCTCCTGAATGAAGCTATCTCAGGCCCCTTCAGATTACAGGTTTATGCTATTTGTGGTATCATTTTAAAAATTACAGTCATTTGTTTAATCAGTGGTTACTTGCATTCTGCCTGTTGTTAAAGTACGACACATTGTCTGGATTACCTGCATCCAGGTTTTTAAGTTTTTCTTGGTGTCCCGTACAACACCATACTGGATGATACTGACTTAGTGACACTGAGTCCTATTTCTTATCCAAACTTTTAAGAAGCTAAAGCTAGTGGGAAACATTTTTTTTCTAAAAACAAGGAGACCTTAGAATTTTTCCAAGGATGATAATTATTTTTAGACTCACCTCCTGTTATAAAAATGAATCTCATAGATGTTATTGTGATGGCTAGAATCTACTTCTAAAGCTGGACACATTTAAGTGAACCTCCCAGTTGTCAGTTTTTAACCCATACAGAGCTCTGTCTGACATGGCCATCAGTGATAAAACATCTGTACTCAGGCACACAGTCATTCGCTTGGACTCAGAGAACATATCCCTCTCAGCATTTCCTTTTAACTGGGTTCCTTTTAACTAAGCCTTACATATGGAACTTCCTTTCACTGAGTCAGACAACTGGTCAGTCAGGTCCAGTGCTGTCTGCCTTACTGACAGCAGCCTCTGGCAGTGGGCATTTCAACTCTGTTATTTGGGACTGGAAATGCCAGGGATTGAACCAAGAATACACGCAAATCATGGACTATACTTGCGAGAGGCAGTGCCTAGAACGTCAATTACAGTGGGATCCTTCATTGCCAAGATGGTTCTGATCAGCAACAGAAGCGCCTTTCCCACAGCAGTTGTTTCTGATAGTAAATTGTGTGCCTCTTGTCAACTATGACAACAACAAAATGAGGCAATTAACTGACAGAATAGGTGTTTTTATATTTTTAAGTGGTTTAGGAGTGATTGAGAAAATATCGCTTTGTAAATTAACCACCTCTCTTCTCCCCCCCCCAATGGTGAGGACTGAGTATGCCTCACAGAACACAATATTAAGAGCAGCTGATATGAAGGTGTGAAGGGAAATGTAACATACTAGTCTACGTGAGAATGAATGGAGCCATGCAAGGTTTCTTCTCTCCTTAAAATAATATATAAATAAGTTAAAAGTTTAGGGTTTTTTGAAAACTTGGATCATTTGAACCCAATCTGACAAGTCCCTACAGGTGGGTTTTTTTCAATTTAAATGTGCATTTTAGTTTATTTCCTGCCAAGACAGGAAGGCAGTGTAGCTAAAGGAAGTTACTATGAAATTACATGTACGAGCATATCTTAAAAATGGGAATAAAACTGTCTTTCAACGAAGCAGAATAATTTGATAGTGACTCTCCATGCTCGGAAACTGCAAGATGCAATTTTACATCGCTTCGAGTACAAGTATCTTTTGAGCTGTCATGCAGAAACAGTTTCTCTCCCTGAAAATGGGGTTTTCCTTTCATCATTCAGGAATGTGTGCCTGTCACTCTCCATTGCCATCAATACATGGAACGGTGATTGTTCTGGGAGCCGGTGACACTGCTTTTGACTGTGCAACATCGGCTTTGCGCTGTGGAGCTCGTCGTGTTTTTGTGGTCTTCAGGAAAGGATTTACAAATGTACGGGCTGTCCCAGAGGAGGTAAATTTCAAGCAATTGAAAGAATTGAGAGCACTAATGGAACATGCCTTGTGGTATGAACACTGGTTCATCATGCTACTTAGGGCTAAACTACACATTACACACAGATGCATGTAACTTCCCCTCATCTTAAAAAAAAAATAGAAGCCTTAGGAGGCGACAGTCTTTCATAGAAGTTGTACAGGGGTAGCACTGATGGAGGTAACCCTTTTTCTCAGACTGTGTTCCCCTTGAAATAAAATATTGCTTTCAGGTATTTAGTAAGATTTAAAATTATGAGATAACACATTGAGGGTCATTTTATATGATCTATAGATATAAAATACAGCATTCAGTGATGCTTTTGCAATTCCTAAAAAGACCTGCAAGAGCTTAAATGAATTGTAGGTGTTCTAACCCTGTTTCTTCTAGGAAAGCTATACATTTTCATTTCCACTTACCCTTACAGACCATTCTAACATTGTGAGTATTTCAAAGCATCCTTTAATTTGGAATTAAACTCGCAGGTCCAGTGGCTGGCACATGTACTCTGCATACACATTGAGTTGTTGATTGGCATCGTAATCATTTATTTTACTACAAATGCTTTTTATTTCAGCTTTAATTATTGCATTGTGGTAGTCTTGCTTTGTTATAATTTATGTGTCACATATCATGGATTGTTGCATAATTTACACTAATGAGACATCAAATATACCCGAGTTACAAAATATATGGGGAAACGGCCCTCTATTTTCAAGAATAGATGTAGATTGTGGAGACTTAAAAGTTACACAAGGGGGTGGGTGGGAAAGTGGAAGAAACCAGGCTTCTGTGTAATTTTTCAAAATACATAATTTATATCGTGGGGTGTGTGTTTTGTCATAATGTAAAAAAAATTAGGGATGAGGACTGAAGATTATTTTGAACAAATGTAATAAATACACTGATTTATTCAGCACAACTCTAATTATATTCCCCTGCTCTCTGTGCCCATACAATTTTTAGTGGAGTTAAATATATTATATGCCAGTGACAAGGATCATTCTAAAATATTAACCAACTCACACATTTGAGTAGGTTTTACACACATTTCTGGTCTATTATAACTACTGATGGCATCAAATACTTCCCAAAGTGTGGAAGTACTTCACAGTACAAACCCAAACACAGTTATACACTTCTAAATCCATGAATTTAGAAGAGTGTAACTGTATTGCCACAGTGTAACTCTGAGCCACAGTTGTGTTAAACCATTAGAGGTAAGAATTTTATCAGTGTATCTTATCAGTGTATGTGAACGCAGTTGGGGAAAGATGATCCTTAAGGTTTGGTTCTCAGAAAAAGGTTGTTTTATCTCATTTTACAGAATCCTTTCATTAGATATTCTTTCTGAATAATCCCTACACCTGATTTAGTGCTGAAAAAGTGTAGACCAGATTAGCAATAGGGATGGGGACGAACTGGCTCATGAACTAAAGTTCATGATGAATTTTGGCCAGTTCATGGCTTGGGAGCTGAAATCCATGGCAGGTCAACCTGCATGAGCTTTCCAAAAATTTTAAAATGGTTTGTGGTAGTTGGTGAATGGATACATTTTCAGACAGTCCGTCTCCAGTCAAACAAAATGTTTACCAAACTTCAAAGCAACGCGGGGAGGGGGGAATTCTGAAGCCTTGGAAACACCAATAGGGGCCCTCCAAAGCTTAACAGACACTGCTGGCTGCGAATAACAGAGTTCCCATTCTGCTTTATGGGATAAGAAAGCTATATATACCCTCAGCTCAGCTCTACACCCTCTCCTCAATTGGATGTTAGCAGTCAAATGGAGAGGCAGGGAACTTGTTAAAAGTAAAGCACATGCATTTATTCCTGATTGTGAACACCTCTCCCCCAGTGTAGTTTGGGTGTTCAGTGACTCAGGGCTCTGACCCACCCCGTCTCTCTGCTCACACCAAGCAGAGAGGCTTAGCTACTGGGTGCCTTGACTGAGGACCCAAATTTTATACCTTCCCACCCCTCCTGATTGTGAACACCTCTCCCCTGGAGCGGTTTGGGTCTTAGGTGGACTCAGGCTCTGAAGCACCCCATCTCTCTGCTCACTCCAAGCAGAGGGCCTTTGCTACTGGGTGCCTCAGCCAAGGTCCCATCTCTCCTGATTGTGCACATATCTCCTTGGTGGGGTTTGGGTGTTAGGTGGACTCAGGACTTAGAGTCACTCCATCTCTCTATTCATGCCGAGCAGAGGGGTTTAGGTACTTGGTGCCTCAGCTGAGGCCCCACATTTATACCCTCCCACTCCTCCTGACTGTGAACACCTCTGTGTGCCGTGAGGGTTAAAGTGGGTGCAAAGTGTGCTCACTGTGGGAGGAAGAAGTCTTCCACTCCCTGCATACTACGGGCCCCCATCCCTGTTCCTGGGGCTCTCCACAGAGGCAAAAGCGGTGCTAGCACTGCCGAGACACTGGCAGTTGCTAACACTCTTTGGAGAGGAGGACTCTGACAGCAGTGATTCAGAGAGTGGGGGGAAGCATCCTCCCCTTCCACATCCCAACTCCATGTTGCTCCATGGCCCCTCTTGGCCCAGCGTCAGAGAGCAGCTTTGATTCCTACCTTCTCCAGTCCTGGAGGCATCTTCTTTGGGAGCTAATAACTCAGACCCCCAATCTGCACATAACTTGGAGAACATGTAGAGGAACATTAGGGGGAGGTCCCCTGTGAGTCTTATTTCTATAGCTTGCACAGGGTATTTCTATACACTCTTGAACCTTCTGAACCCGCACTTTTCATTTCCCCAGAAAGCACTTTCCCAGGGCACCTTCTTTGGGTGGCTGTAACTCTGATGCCGTAAAACCAATCCTCACCTAACTGGGAGGGCTGTTAGAAGAGAGTCAGCCAGAGATCTCCTGTGAGTTTGGTGTCTCTAGCATGCTGGATTATCATTCTAACACATTATGAACCTCATTAAATGAACCAGTTTGTTTGGTGCCTAAATGTTTGTGACGGTTCGTGGCTCACAAACCGGACACACCATGAACCAAAATGAACCATATTTTCCTGGTTCGTGCCCATCCCTAATTAGCGAGTCAAGCATCTGATACCATAACTTTTTGGGGAAAAGCAAAGTTACTTATCCCAAATGCATAGTGAATGCAAAAGTCAACTCTAGAGAGAAATAAAATACAAATGTATCAAAACAGTGTAAAAAGTACAAATACTCTAATGCCATGAAATTTATCATTCCATAAACAATGCAAACAATAACTATCACTGAATAAATTTACTAGACATGGAGTTGAATCCAGTGCCAAATTTCTGCTTGTGCTAGAATTCTTGCAGAAGCAGAAACACAAGAAAAAGACTGATACCAACTTGTGCTTAATCAAACTTACTGTATCCCCACTTGTGTTTCTGCTTGTGCAATATGTTGTGCAACCAACTTCTGGGTACTATAATATGTAGGGAGAAAAGCACTAGATGTTGCACCAGATCTTGTTCAAGCAGAACTGTGCTAAGGGTATTTATGTTTCCTCCTGTGCCTTGCTGGATCCCAGCCAATGCCTATACTCCCTTAACTTGCATATTCTTTGTTAACGTTTGACACTGTAGTTTTTGTTAGTACAGGACTTTTTAATTCAGATGATGCACTGTATTCATTCATTTATAAAGATAACTGATACAAAGGCCTTCAAGAAAAGCTTTATTGAACTGAGTGTAGTGTCCAGGTTGAGGCCAGAAGTTGTAATTTCAGTTCTATTATGTATTGACATTACAGCTTATCTGTTTTACAAAACTATCAAGCAGATTCCTACAAGTATCCCTCCCACTTACTACAAAGAGAATTTGCTAACACTGAACCAAGCTAGAGAATTTCATTTTTAAATTCTTTACACTACATAATCTTTGAGTTACTCTTGTCTTCTCCATAAGAGGCAACCTGGGTCTCCCTCTCAGGAATCCTATACTTTTTCCCTACTAAGGCCAAACTGCATGTTATATCAAACAAACTGACTGGATCTCCTAATTTTTTTAAAAAATTGAAAAAGTAGGACCTGTTCTGTGCAAAAGATATTTAATTATTTCACTAATGTATTTTTCCCCCTGATCGAAATGCATCCCTGTCTAGACTCAAGTTAGACCTGATAGGGAAAGAAAACACATACACTGTTTTTTGACATTGTCTTCTCCTATTATGGGTATTTATAGCCTGCCTAGGGCTGCTGGTGATCACAAAAATAGCAGAGCAAAGTTACTCACCCTTGCCCAGCAGTATGGCATCATGCCCTCCTTCCCTGTGTCTGCTTTTTATAGTAAAAAAACATATTGGGAGACTGCCCAAACCTGGATAGCCCAGGCAAGCCCAATCTTGTCAGATCTCAGAAGCTAAGCAGGGCCAACCCTGGCAAGAACTTGGAAGGGAGACCTCCAAAGGAATACCGGGGCTGGGATGCAGAGGCAAATAATATCAAGCCACCACTCGGAAAAGTCCTAGCCCCGGGTCACCAGAAGTCACCATGACTTCCAGGCTCACAAGCACACACATACACACTATATCTGTCAAGCAGGACTCTTTTTGTAGCAGGAACTCCTTTGCATATTAGGCAACACACCCCTAATGTAGCCAATCCTCCAAGAGCTTACAGTAGCCCCTGTAAGAAGAGCTCTGTAAGCTCTTGGAGGATTGGCTACATAAGAGGTGTGTCGCCTAATATGCAGAGGAGTTCCTGCTAGCCCTACCTGTCAGTCTGTCTGTCTGTCTGTCTGTCTGTCTGTCTGTCTGTCTGTCTGTCTTTCTACATATTGGGAGATTCAATTTCTTCTTTGATATATTGCCTTGAATTTAAATTCTAGTTGATAACAAATGATTTCTGTTCTCAATGGATCACTTGCATTCCTTGTTTAGCCACTTCATATAAACCGAATGCTACCTGTCCTCTCAGTCTTCCTTCTGTCTAATCCTTTATGGTTTATCCAGATAATAAATACTAACATGATGTAATTACAGGTGAGAGGCTGTCATACAGAATACTTGGGTGTTTTTCTTTCTTTCTTATTTTCCCCCTTCTACATTGTTCCCTACTGCTGGCTGCAAAAGCTGTCCAGTCATCAGTGAGAGGTTTGGTCCTACATCCCAACAGTATTTCCATTAGGCTGTTAAAGCAAGCTCTCAGTGGGGTATTCCTGTGCAGTGGGAAGACTAACCAGGAGTCAGCCTGATAAAACTTCTCTGTGTCATAATCTCTTAGCTGTTGTCATGGCTAATTGTACTTTACTATTACTTTGTTGGTTTGCTGGATATGACTACAGTCCTAGTGTTTTACAGATGTATTCATGAAATATGTTTTTTCTTTCAATAGCACCTGACTCTTATTTTCAGGCTACCCTTTTAAGTATTGCTTTCTTGAAGTTGGATACTGTTTTTTTTAAAGTCTCTTTAATTCCCTTATGCTTTATTGCTGCAAGATAGTACAGCAGGAAGAAAGTGCGTATTGATGAATTTTTTTTTTTTTTTACAGGTGATTTATATACCGCCCTTAACCCCTAGCGGGTCTCAGGGCGGTTTACAATGTGCTACTGTATAGTAGCTAATACCTATCTAGGGCCACATATGGTGCGGGGGGGGGGGACAACCTACCAGCACCCCTAATACGGCACGGTGTTCCTTTGGCAGCTTTTTCTTGGTGTGAGTTGTTGCTGTTGATGTTGTCCTGCGACCCGGCTGCTATCGGCTGGGCGAGCTGGCTGTTATTCTTTTTGGAGCGGCGTATCTCTCCTCGGGCGCAGCCTCGGCAACGTCCAAGCGGCTCCTGTGGGTCGTTTTCCTTAGGCTCACTGCTTTGTATCTGCTCATACCAGCAATAGATCTGGATAGTGTTTTATGTCCATATCATAGAACTATGGATGCAGTAGCTACAATCTCTTTGTGATTTGTGGTCTGCTAATGTTATGACCATCCAGTCCTGGATGGCCCGGGCTAGCTCAATCTCATCAGATCTTGAATGCTAAGCAGGGTTGACCCCAGTTAGTACCTGGATAGGAGACCACCAAGGAAGTCCAGGGTTGCTACGCAGAGGTAGGCAATGTCAAACTATTTCTGTTTGTCTCTTGTCTTTGAAAACCCTACGGGGTTGGCATAAATTGGCTGTGACACTTTCTACCACCAGTGACCACCATACAGGTTATTCTAAAAGATCTGGGGAACTTTACTGATCTCCAGTGGTGTGGAAAATGGTGTTTCAGAGGTAGTGAGCATATTGAAGTCTTCTTCCACTGCTAAAAATAAAAACAGTTCATGGGCACCTTAAAGACTAATAAATTTTATTCTGTCATAAGGTTTCATAAATCAGAGCTCTCTTCATGAAGTGTATGCTCATGAGGTCACCAGAAAAGGAAGACATTACAAAGAGAGGCTGGTATTCATCTGGTCTTATATCCATTCTTTATATTACACACCGTAAAGATTCTGCCTTTTATAATTTCTTGTTGTTTCTCATCAAACAAAACTTTGTTCAGTGGAGTAGCAGAGTTTGCCTAATGACATCTTTACCATGGTTTCTACTGTGATGTTTCTGCTAATAACTTTCCTAGTTGCTGTTGCATGGGATGGGATGGGATGGCTTGGTTGGAAGTTTTCTCCATATACTTGGGCTCTTGGACTGGCCTTCCAGGCACTTGTCACTCCTGAAAACTTCTTCCTGTGACTTAAGAAATCTCTATTGCCCATGAGTCAGCAGTCTTTAATTCTTATCTAGAATATGCTGTTACTGGACCTTTGTAAGACCCCTGAGCTTGTATGATAGTGATCCTCATCAAGGGTATGTGGTTCCTTCATTTCACAACCACACAACTGCATTGACAAACACTGCCTTCCCTTTGATAAGGGTTGCCAACCTCCAGGGGGTGGCTAGAGATCTCAGGGGGTGGCTAGAGATCTCCTGCTGTTACAACTGGTCTCCAGGCAACAGAGATCAGATAAAATGGACACTTTGGAAGGTGGACTCTATGGCATTATACCCTATTGACTCCCTCTTCTCCCCAAACCCCATTTTCTTTGGACTTCACCCCCCAAATCTCCAGGTATTTCCCATTCTGGAGCTGGCAACTCTACCTTTGTGAGGGCTACTTATCACATCACTGCATTTTCTTGTTAGCTGCATTGTGCTGTTATTGTACATCATTAATCTGTTCCATTTTATGGGCATTTTGGGATTCAGCTGACTTTGTGGAATTAGGTTGCAGGTTTCTAATTACTATCATTTTTGGGGGGGGACACACACACGACATATCCATTACCATGTTTAAGTTTGAAAGGGAGATGTAGCATGGATAGGAATATAATGATTTTTTTCTATTCAGATTATTTATCTTTTTCTGGTTATATGGATTTTTCTCATATTAAGATTTTATTAGGATATAATGAAAGCCTATTAAATAGTAAGGTTTCTCCCTTGTAGGTTAGAGTATCCTTTTAGCTGATGTTAGCATACAAGAAAACAACATTCTTTTGCTGGTATGACAGGAGAGGTTTTTGAATAGAGGTATTTGCTTGAAGCAGGGGTCATTTCATAGAAAAAGAGCTAGGGGAACTCATTAGCATAACTCATTAGCATATGCCACACCCCCTGACATCACCGGAAGTGTGTCATAAGGCCACACCTCCTGACATCACTGGAAATGTGTCATAAGGCCACACACCCCGCCCCCAACGGTCCTGGCCGCCGGTGCCGGTCTTGCAGCTCCACTGCCGAGCCCCATGATTGGAAGCGGGGCAGCTGGAAGCAGGGGGCGGGGCTTCATCATGTGCCCCTCCCCCCCGCACCTCACCCGGGGGAACTGCGTTCCCCCGCATTCCCCCCGAAATGACCTCTGGCTTGAAATATAGAGTTCATGGTTTTAGTTGTTTGGGGTAAAACTCTGCAGTGTCTGGGTCAAAAAGGGCTTTAATTTCATATCAGAAGAAAACACTTTTTGCTTGGGTATGAAGAATCCTTGAGGTATTATTATTAAGGTTAGGTTAAATAAACATTTAAGATATCATGTAGGCACACCTTTTTTCTGTATTTGACCAGTGAGTGAATTACTACTCAGATGAATCTCTGTAATTTTGTGACTTATTATGATTTCTGAATCTTATCTTCTTAGCTATGTCATTCTGGGTATAAAATTTCATGTACTTCCTTATTGTGCTCAGAAAGCAGTTAGTTTTTGATAGGCTGGTTTGGCCTGTTTTCACTTGTTTTAATTGCAATTAAAATCAATGAACATTCCTCCTCATTTTGACTTCTCTTTTTGGCTAGGAATCTGTTTGTGCAACAGAGAGGTTGGCTAAAACTTAAGCCAGCAACAAACTTTTGTTGAGCTCAGGTTGAAGTTCATAATAAGGATTGAAACTATTCACAATAGAGCTCCCCCAGGATTGGATCTTACATACATTTTCAACTTTCAAAGCAGGAGATTTTTTTTGTTGATTTCTTGTGTTATTGCTGACTCCACTCCCTACCCCCTATTAGTCACAGGGGTTCACCTACCCCCATATGCAGCTTTGTGGGGCAGGCAGAGTATGACAGGCCTCAGTGGGAAGGGAAATCAGCCCAAATTGCCTCCTTCAGTTTATAAAAATGCGTTCCATGAGTAGAAAACTTAAGATCTGCAGAAACATCCCTTTCAACTTCAGTTCCTTTAGCTACAGATCCATGCAGACTGTAAGGTTGTCTTTTAAGATGCCAGTCCCTAGTTCACCCAGGCTTTTTTTTTTTTTTTTTTGCCTGTTGTCATCCTGCAGTTCTTTCATTCAGTAAGGAGCTGTTCAATTGTGACTTTTTATCAAGGGCAATACTCCCTGCTGTATACCAAATGTATTTCAAATGAAAAGAGACAATGAATGAACCCAGAAATGTATTATTATTTTACCCTGGCAGTGCTGCCTTCTATTTTTATGTCCATTTTAAAGATTTGCTGATCTGATAATGATAGTAGGCTTCTCACCAAGTAACTCGCAAGGGAATATGTATAGGTCTAGCTGCTATTTCCAGCACAGATTGTGTAGTCTCTTCTCATATTGGAATGTAGGCTTCACTGCCACAGAGTATAAGGATATTTCACAGAGACAAAGCTGTTTTAGTCTGTGACTTGAAATCAAGAGTTCTGCTAACAGATGCTGCTAATTAAAAGTAATACAATTCTAGAAGAAGTGGGTGGCAGATAGGCTGGTAAAATGACAGTTTGATCCTGTACTTAAAAAGGAAAATGTCTATTAAGTATATTACTGCTTCCCTGTTTTAAAGCATATCAAACTGGCTGCTACTGGAATCTGTAAAACAAGCCACAATAACAGAGGGTGCATAAAAGAATTAGACATCCCAATGCACAGAAGAATTAGACATCAAAACTGTTTCAAAAACTAAGTCTATATTTGTATCATACTTCCTCTCCAGATGGAACTTGCAAAAGAAGAAAAGTGTGAATTTCTGCCTTTCCTTTCTCCTCGGAAGGTGGTAGTGAAAAGAGGGAAGATTGTTGCTATGGAATTTGTTCGGACTGAGCAAGACGCAGATGGAAACTGGAAGGAAGATGAAGATCAGGTGGTCCGGCTGAAAGCTGATGTAGTGATCAGTGCCTTTGGATCAGTCTTAAATGACCCAAAAGGTACTTTTCAGTCAAAGCGGTCATGATCAAGTCTAAATTAAGCACATTTAAGTTCCACCGATCCCAGTAGGAATAATTTAAATTTATGGGATTAAAATTTTGCATTAAATTTGGCTACATAGTGCCTTGATGTATATTCTGTTCCTAGAATCAACTGTGATTGAAATATGTTTCCCTGACAGTAGAAATGAAGAGAGATTAGTTATGAAGAGGCAGTAGGGTGAGATCTCTTTTGGACACTTTGAGACTACTTTAAAACACTATTATAGAAGCTCAGATAAAATTACAATTAGGAAAGAAATAAGTCCGAGAGGATGTCAGCACAGTTATTGAACAGAGTCAAGGGTACTGTTAAAAAAATGCAAGAAGTTTGCTTTATGAAGTGGAAGACTTTCCGGAATGTGGGGGGGGGGGGGGGGGGACGAATTCTGGCAAATCTAATGGAAGTTGACAATCTGACAAGTGAGAACAGAATTTGAAAAGCATATTGCTGGAAATTAGTATATGATCTGAAAAAAAAAATGAATCAGGGAGGCAGTTGAAACATTGAACAACTTCTAATTTTTGTTGGAAATGAAATAATTCTGTATAGCAGTCTTTACTGTAGAAGGTACCCATGCCTGATTCATTTTTTCCAGGAGCTGGAGAAATCTCCCCCCCCTTTATTTATTTATTGTTTGTCACAAAAGTCATTGATCGAGATATAGTAACATAGAGGTGCATCACAACAATGTTCAAAGCTGGAGAAATCTTGACTGTTTGCTAGAGAGGCAGGGCTAGTTATTCATCTAAGAAGGTTCTGATGGGCTGTGTGTTGGTTTCCTCAACAGGGGCCAATGGTAGTTCCCTAGGGCAGGTTCAGGGCAGGAAAATAATGCAGAAGAACAGGCTTAAGCCCCTTCTTCCTGAATGCTGCTGTTCTGATCTAAAGGGCTTGCATACACCTGGGAATTATTTTCTGAGTACGGAATTTTTCAGGACTGGGAGGAGACATGGGGGAGAGGCATTGGGGTTAGTTACCAGGATCACAAAACCCTAATATTACAACAATTACACTAGCTTCCAGTTTGCTTCCAAACCCAATTCAAGGTGTTGGTTTTGACCTTTAGAGCCCTATATTGCTTGGGACCAGGGAATCTGAAGGGCCATCTTCTCCCATACATTCCTGCCCAGGAACTAAAATCACAGGGAGAGTCCCTCTTGATTATCCCATCAACCAGAGAGGCTCATCTGGTGGGTGCATGATAGAGGTCCTTTTCAGTGGCAGCCCCACCATTATGGAACAACCTCCCAGGGAGGTACACCCGGACCCCTCACTCTTGACCTTTAAGACAGTTTTATTCATGATGGCATTTGATTAGATGATTAGTTCTTCTGCCTATCAGCAGTTTTGAATTATTGTTTTTATACTACTGGTTTTTATGTATTTTGTTATTATTTACATTGTAAGCTGCCTTGAGTTCCTGTAAGATAGAAAGGTGACTAATAAATAGTTTAAATAAATAAATATGAGGAGAGTCTGTGAGGTGCTGGCTGTACCACTGGCACCAGGGGAGAAGGCGATGAGCATAGCTTTTGGCCTCGCAGATCCATAGAGCCTCCAGCCAAGTCCAAGGCAAATCCCAGAGGTCTTGGCAGCTCTGCTGAGGCTCCGCTTACTCAGAGTGTATCTGGCCAAACCCAGCTTTCATCTCCCCCTGCCCTTGGTTTCCTGGCACACCATCATCTTCACATTTTTTTTACTGACACTAGGGCCAAAAAATGCTGCCACTGCTGTTCTAGGGGTATTTGACCAAGTTAAAATTAACAAATAGGTGTAACTTGTTAATTCTTAGGGAACTCGGATGTGAAATTACTGAGCTAATAAAAATATGCAACATTTGTCCTTAATTTCAGTCTCCATACTGGAGGAGTAAAAGCTAATCCAAAGCTAGTTTAAAAAGAGATATGGCAGCAGGCTGGAAATTGCAGACTTGTGAGCCTTAAGGCTGTCCTAGGTCAATAGTTGGGAAGTGTAACTGAAGCTAGAATACTTACCATATATAGAACAAGCCTTGCTGATGGTGAATCAAAATTTTCTTCTCGCTTTTACTGTGCTTGGCATGCTAGGACTGCAGTTCTTAGCAGATCTACTCAGAAGTAAGTCCCTTTTATTTAATGGGGCTTTCTCACCAGTAAGTGCCCCCTTGCCCAGATTGCCTGGAGGCATGGGCTGGGACGTCACCCATATGCAGATGACACCCAGCTCTATCTGTTGCTGGGCGGCCAGTCTGACTCTAACAGAAGATTTAGACCAGACGTTACAAGCCATGTCTAGATGGCTTAGACTGAGTCGATTGAAACTGAATCTGATGAAGACGGAGGTCCTGTGCCTCTGTTGGGGTGGACTGGGAGTAGGAATCCCACTCCCGACCTTCAATGGGGCACAGTTAGTGCCAGTGCTGGAGGTTAGGAGTTTGGGAGTGCTCTTGGATGCCTCCTTAGTAATGGAGGCCCAGGTAGCAGCCACTGCCAAGTTAGCTTTTTATCATCTTTGGCTGATCAGGCAGTTGGTTCCGTTCCTCGAACACAATGATTTGGCAACAGTGATCCATGTGATGGTCACCTTGAGATTGGACTACTGTAATTCTCTCTACATAGGGCTGCCCTTGTCCCAAATCCGGAAGCTGCAACTAGTGCAAAATGCTGTGGCCAGGCTGTTGATGGGTCTCCCTATGTGGGAGTACATCCAGCCTGTGCTAAAAGCACTGCACTGGCTGCCAATAGCATGCCGGATTCGCTTCAATGTGCTGTTTTTGACCTTTAAAGCCCTTTATGGTCAGGGTCTGGCATACCTAAGGGACCACCTTTCCCCATACATTCCCCAGAGAGCACCCAAAACCAGCTGCCCCCCCCCCAGGCCCCAAAGATGCCAGGCTGGGAACAACCAGGGCCAGGGCTTTCTCAATGGCAGCTCCGTACTGGTGGAATGAGCTCCCGGAGGAGATCAGGGCCCTGAGGGACCTTCTACAGTTCCACAGGGCCTGTAAAACAAAGCTCTTCCACCAGGCCTTTGATTAGGAGCTGCACCAAACACTTGAGAAGTGGCCCTGTGCCCTGGCCTACAACTTACAGCCTGTGTTCACCACATACATAATTGGATTAGCTGAGCTAGTGTGAAAATATCATCATGATTGCCGCCTAAGAAGTAGTGTTAAGCTTGAAACCTCTGCTCTTGCACTTTACTTGAATATTGCTTCAGCACTTTAGGACAAGTAATATTTAATAGTTATGGTGTTTTTGTCAATGATTTTAATTGTATTTATAAATGTACTTTTATGTAAGCCGCCTTGAGCCTGCCTCGGTGGGGACGGCGGGGTATAAATTGAATGAATGAATGAATGAATAAGTGTGCATAGGATTGCAGCCAAGGTCATCCAGTGAAATTGATTGGCAGTACATTTGTGATGCATGCAAAGAACCCAGAAGATAATTAACATGCAGAATTTGCTGCCAAAATATGTAGTAATCACTACTGGTGTAGCTGACTTCTCAAGGGAATTAGACAAACCCAGAAAGAACAGATGACACATAAATGGAACTTCCATGGTCAGAGGCAGTATCCCTACGCTTTCTTATCCCCTGCTACTCTCCCATATTTTGTTTTTATTAAGAATTTGATTTATTGGTTGCTTATGCTCGTAATATCATTTTGACAGTAAAGTAACAAGCAACAACATTTGAATCTGTAATGAAGTCCTGATTGCTGAAGTTAACTTTAATTAGATCTTAGAAGGGCATATTTTAAAAGCTTTGGTATTCTATAGCAAGCTGAATATAGATTCACAGAATCACACTAGTATCAGTATTTGTAATCTCATCCAGCAGTAACACAATATCAAATGGTTTAGTAGTCTTATTCAGTTTATCCTCTTTTATTGTAGCCCTGGGGTGAACATAGCAGCTAATATCAAATCCAGCAATAGGATTGAATCTCAGCTTTCAGTATTTTTTTTTTTAATAAATTGCTTGTGCTTATTGTTGCAGAGATCATGCTGATATTTTGGCTAACCAAAGTGGGTGAAGTTGCCACTTGGCCTTCACTTACATGCCATGTGGCTTTTGCAAGCCCCGCCAACATGGACCTTATGAACCTCATGGGAGGTCCGTGTTTGTGGGATGGAATGGACTAGGCTCATGGACCATGAACTGGGCACCAGTTTGTGGAAAAATTAGGTCTGTGGTCTGGTCCATGCCCATGCCTAGTTACTGTTCTTCTATCGCCTTTACATGTGCTTTCCCGTCCCAGAAGACCTAAAGGCATAAACCAGAAGGCACTGGTATGCTGTGCCTTGGTTCCCCATTCCTAGTGTTTCAATTGCTTTCCCTGACTGGTAATTTGATACAAGTTATGTTATTTTGCTGGTGTAGAGAATAGTGTGGTTGTTGCTATTAGGGGTACCATAGTGTGTTGGGAAAGACATTTACTGTGAGGATCAAAGGCCTGATCTTGAATATATTCAAGACTATGTGGCAGAAGACAACAAAAACCATTGTATTTTATGAGCATTTCCATATACCTTATAACAACAGAAAACAACATCACATATAAAAACCACCTACAAAAATGTCCTAAAACAGATGCCATCCATGTCTTTGATAAGTGCAACATCCCTAGAAATATTTGTCCTTCATAGTCTCCTATGTGATGAAATGATCACTGTTCCACTCAACAGATCCCTTTTCATTTTGGTGTATAGCTTTATAGGTCTCTTTCTCAGTTCCCTGTGGAGCATGTCCCAATGGGGAGTGCATGTGCATTACTGCCACTGCTGATAACATTTACTTATTAGTAGCTTTTCTTGGACGAATTATTCAAAGCAATTTAAAAAGAAATCAAATCAGAACAGCCTTTAAAAATGACAAGGTAAAAAAACAGTCAGTTCCCTTCAGTCTAAACTTAATGTTGCAAGAAATATGTCCATCCTGTTGTTCTGTCCTGTGCTCTATAATTGTTTCTC